TAGAACTTCTCTTACTAATAAACTTATTAATGTTAGTACGATTATATGGTCCTACTCGATGGTTGTTTTACATTGGCTTAGAAGTGAACCATATAAGTGGAACACCTTTGTGAGCAATCGAGTTTCCCAAATTCAAGAGAAATTACCTCCTTCTTGTTGGCGTCATGTAGTCTCCAAAGACAACCCCGCTGATCCAGGTTCTCGTGGTCTTCAACCTAGCGAGTTACTCGACAATGCCTTATGGTGGGCGGGACCTCCATGGCTAAGCCAACCGGAATCTTTTGGCCGCAATCAATTTTTACTTTCCCTGAAATTGAAGAAGAACAACGAAAAGTTATATTGACATGTACTTCACAGCCCTCATTGTTTGATACTCTCTTTGAAAAGTTCTCTTCTTTCTCTAAAATTATAAATATTGTCACGTTTTGCAGACGCTTTCTCTATAATACTCGACATTCTAAATCTCGTAAAACCTCTCCTCTCTCGAAATTTGAAATAAATGAAACTCTAGAATGTATTATTAAATGTGTTCAATCACAATATTATGCTAGGGAAATTCTCTTAATAAATAATTGCAAATCTCTACCTAAATACTTAAGAAAATTGACCCCCTTTATCGACACCAATGGAATTCTTAGAGTTGGTGGTCGCTTGCGCAATGCTTCTCTAAATTTCTCTCAAAAACATCCCGCACTCTTACCCAATAATCATAAATTTACTACTCTACTCATAGAATATACTCATAAACTCTATTTGCATCCCGGTCCCCAAACTCTTCACTATATTCTCGCTCAACAATACTGGATTGTTTCTGCTAGAAAAACAATTCGTAGTGTTCTCTTTAAATGTCCTCAATGCTTTCGCGCTAATCCAGTAATGCCTCAGCCTCCTATTATGGGAGATATTCCTGCTGTAAGACTTTCTCAAGTAAAACCTTTCTCTGAAGTTGGATGCGACTATGGTGGTCCATTCTCTTTATTAAGATATCGTGCACGAGGTGCTAAGTCCTGTAAAGCCTATATTTGCTTATTTGTGTGCATGGCCACGAAAGCTTTGCACTTAGAACTGGTTTCCGACCTTTCCTCCGAGACTTTTCTGGGTGCAATGCGTCGATTCATTTCTCGTAGAGGTCGCTGCAATCATATTTATTCCGATTGTGGAACGAACTTTGTCGGAGCTTCTAGAGAACTGATTAATATGCTAAAATCCGCCGCTGAGCAAGAACAAATTTCCTGGCACTTCAATCCTCCAAGCGCGCCTCATTTTGGTGGCCTGTGGGAAGCAAGAATAAAGTCTGTAAAAACTCACATTAAAAGGGTCATTGGTGACCAATTGCTCACGTATGAGGAATTTTATACGCTACTGGTTCAAATAGAAGCAGTGCTTAATTCTCGTCCATTGTGTCCACAAAGCTCTGATCCTAATGATTTGTCAGTTCTTACTCCAGGACATTTTTTAACCCTAGAGCCGTTAAACGCCCCTCCGAAAGATGATCTTTCCGGGATAAAATTAAATCATCTCTCTCGCTGGCAGTTGATATCACGCTTGCACCAAAGCTTTTGGAGCCGATGGTCTAAAGAATACCTTCAAACACTTTTACAAAGAGCTAAATGGAATGACTCTACTATTCCAATAGAAATAAACTCGGTTGTTTTAATAAAGGATGATAATCTTATTCCGCTCAAATGGAGCATTGGAAGAGTCTTAGAGATTCACCCGGGCCATGATCGTGTTACACGCGTGGTTACTTTAAAAACAGCAAAAGGCATTCTTAAAAGACCAGTGACAAAGATATGCCCACTGCCGTACTGCAAATCTCATAATTAAATTTACTCTCTAAAAAAAAAAAAACATAATCGCAAAAAAAAAACATAATCGCAAAAAAAAAACATAATCTCATTATAAACATAATTAACATCTCTTATTTAATTACTTTTCTCTACTCTATAACAAATGTAAACTCTCTTAATATTTAATTAAATTACACTCATGCATTAACCCCAATAATGCATTTTTCTAAATTTCCTCTAAATTTAACTTCATAAATTTCACTCCTACTTTCTTTTAAACATAACGCATTTTTTCACTTTTTTTATTTTACATTACTATTCTCAAACGAAAATGGAAAATATTTCATTTTGGTGGGCGGTATGTTGGATTCTATCCCTTCCTCCCACCCTTTACCCGAAAAACCTTAGTGGGTACGTAGCCGTAGTCGAATACGCAGAGTGACAAGATCGGCCGAGTACAAAGTGTACACCTCCAAGCGCGCGCTATCCTCAAGTGTTTTATAAGCAAAATAACAAGTACGAGTCCAGAACGGGAATAAAAGTGAGTGCCCACAGTCCTGATACATTAACTCACCCTAATGAACTGAGCCCCATTAATTCTCGCCCGTAACAACGTCATTCCATTTAGAATGTCATTTTCTATCGAATAAAGTAAAAAAATACCGAGGGTGCCATTTAAAAATCAAAAATTTTAGTCATTTCCGGTGAAACAGGAAGTGACAGAAAACAATTAAATAGGTCAATCAATCCTAATTTATGTCATATATGTCTTCAGCATATATGACATCTTCAGCCGCCAGAGGGATATAAGTCCAACCCCTCTTCATCGGATTCACCAAGTGACACTTCAGTGACGTTGTCACAGGATTTCCCATTGCAGTATGCATAAATCATTGAACATTTTAATCCTGCTTTTCTGCATCCGCAGGCATTTGTGTCTTTACCACAGTTGTTGGTTTTGCATTTACAGGATAAAAATGCCACTAGGGATTTTGGAGCTGCATCTTTCAACGTTGTGACTATAGTAATGCCTGTTTTTGTTTTCTTCCAACCCCATTCTTCTTTGGTACAACCAGACCAATGCTGAACCTGGTGGTAAGTTCGCAATGAATGCTGTCCAGCACGACAATTAATTATTCATAAATTAATGAGCGAATTAATGATACGCCACTGTTTCATGACAAAATTGAAGAAACTAAACTAAAACTAGTTTTTGGTGAACACTAATCGACATTTGATTTCGACTATAGTATGTATATCATACTTTACGCAAAATTGTAAAATTTCCAGGGATTTTGTGCCTAAACGGTTGACTTTAGCGAAAATTTTCATATAACCTTTTTATACGAAATTTTATTCTCTTTAATTTTGCTCTCTTCAAATTTTTGCAAAAACGAATAGTTTTCGAGATATTTACAAAATACCGATTTTGGGCGCCATCTTGGCAAGATGGTGGCGTCGGTGGCAAGTCTGGAAATGTGCATTTTATGGATTTTAGTTAGGGACCCCAAAACCTATAAACCTGCAAAGTTTCAAAACTTTTTTTTTCCAAGCAGGTCCTTTTTTTGATCCCCAATGACTGAACTAATAATTTTATATATGGTACTTGCATTTTTTATAGTTTATCTGTTTTATGTAGCAATAATGTACCCAAAATTTTGCAGTAGGCACTGAACCCAAAACGAAGGTACATTATACATTACCAAAAGAAACTCACCGCACGTTCTTTTGTTTAAATATTGTATTTTTTTAACTTATGTAAGAAAAAAACTACGGTCGGACTAACCAAGCGTTGAGTAGTCGCCTGTGGAAATGACTGTCTTTACCAACGCCAGTCTTGTTTCGAATTCCGATATACACGATTGATTTGTTTAATCTAGTGCAATGAAAAAATTCGGAAAGTGCATCATAATACTGCAGTACCCAGTTATGTGGTCTCTAGTTATTTTAGTTATATTCTTTAGCCATAGGTTCGTATTTAAAAACACTATACATTATAAATCATGTACAGGGTGGGTCAAATTCGACGCTTTTAAATGGAACCACCCTTTTCTATAGCAGATAGACGAAAACTAATATCGGTGTCTGGAGCTCAATTTTCACCAAAAATATGATGGTGAAAACCGCACATCAATATCTGTTACCGTTTCGGAGTTTCGGAGTTTTTCAAAAATGTGCATTTTTAACAAATCGCTGTAACTTTTTTGCTATGGATCTTTCAAAACACAAAATACACTTAGATCAATTTTATCACATACTAAACCAATGAATACAGAACAACAAACAAAAAATGTAATATACCAAATATCCTGCGAATGCGATAAATTTTACATTGGTGAAACATCTAGACCCTTAAATGTTAGAATTAAAGAACATAAAGATTATTTAAGAAAGGGAGATTTTCACAAATCTAAGATTTGTCAACATTCATGGGACACGGGGCACAGAATAAATTTTAATAACGCCAAAATTATAATGAAAGAAGCGATAGCCTCTAAAAGAAAAATAAAAGAGGCTTTTTTAATTCAATCTAATAAAAATAAATGTATTACTCCTGCATCTGTAGATGTTAGTAATGTATGGCAATCGCTTCTTTGATTTTAAAAAACATTACATAAATAAACATAACATACGTGAAATTTAAAAATAATCATACAGAAAGTTTGGGCTTTGGGTGAGCCACTTTTGAGACGCACCCAGTATATACGGCGTCGTATAAATTTGCTACCTACAATGTATGTAGAAAATTCGCTCGGCTTTTTATCGAGTATGTCACATTTAAATCGGATTTCTATTTATTTCATTCTAGGATCGCTTGCGTTCGTCGTTTGGTACTCGTCACTTGCATCGCTCGTTCATAATCGAGCGATGTCGGTTATTTCAATAATCGAGTATTCGAGCGAATTTTCGCTCGAGTTCTCCCGTCACTAGTTATAGACAGGATCAGAAAGACACTAGTTAAGATAGATTTATTAATTGATATCAGAAAAAGGTTGTTGTGGTCAGTCGGAGTTTTTCAAATATGGCGAGTGTGAAGTTCTCCAAATCTCGAATGAAATTATACTATTTTTATCGTAATCGGAAAGAGTAAAATATTTTAAGTTAATGTCCCCTAAATCATCATAATCGGAAAGCATTCAAAAGATATCCTTCTAGCAACATCTATAGATTCGGTATTTGTAAATATTATAATATATGTATTTCTTTTAGATGCGGTCATCAAGATTCGCTTAATGTATTTGTTCATATAGGAGGATTAGTAGAGAAAATAGATTCATTTTGCGGATCAGTAATACCAAAGCCAGTTATGTCTAACGGGCCTAGGTTAAAACTGGAATTCCAGAGTTTTTATGCGTCAAGATACTCAAGAGGATTCAATGCAACATATATTTTTACGGAAGGTAAGTTTAATATTCATTGCTAAACAAATGTTCAGTAAAATTTTTCACTAATTCTGTTAAATTTGATAAACTCTAAAGCAACTTTCAAGCACTCAACAACTGTTGAAATATCCATTTAAGCGATATTGTAATACCTTATTAATTATTGATTAATTTCAATCATATACACTCAGATGCAAAAAAAACGCAACGGAGAAAATTTTGGTAAAATTTAAAGTGTTATATTTTTGTTGTTTTTAGCTCTATGTTCATGATTTTTAGCAAACTGTATATAATTATATCATCTCTAATTCGTAAACTCAGTATTTTATAACTTTAGTATTTGGCATATTATACAGGGTTAATCGAGGGGTTGTTTTTTTACCCTAACTTTAAAACACCCTGTGCAATAATTTTGTATGTAAATTTTCCTAAAATATAATTTTACGGTCAGAACCATGTCTCCTGAGCATTTTCTTTTTTGGATCATGGCAATACATGCCTTGGTTAATTTTTAAGAGCGAATTGAACTAATCACGATCAATTTGCAATTTTTTCAATGATTACCTTTTGATGTAATTTTTTAATATGATGAGATGATTTTGGTGACTATTGTCATAACGTCATATTGCGCTGCATTGGATACTCCATACTAAATAAAAAAAAAAGTTAAAAACTAACGATACAGTCCTGGTTGTAATAAACATTATTAGCAATAAAAGAACTAACGATATTAAAGAAAACATCTGTAATACTCAAGTATACAAACATAAAAAAAAATGTAAAAAATACCTTAATACTTTGTATTGCCTCCCCTGGCTGTTATGATTGCCTGTATACGTTTGTTCATACTGTCACTGAGGCTGCATAATATATCATATTGCGTTATGTTTCCCCATTCTTCTTTAAGGACCAAGCGAAGCTGATAACGGTTCGCGAACTCTAACCCTCCCGCCAAGCATTTCCCAAACGTCGAACATGATGGGCAATTCAAGGCAAGGTGCCTTGTCCTATTGAAAAAAAACATGATATTCAAAAAAAAACTTATTTATTGAAAAAAAAATGGAAACTGTTGATGGCAAGTTCATTTCGCTCTTAAAAATTAACCAAGGCATGTATTGACATGACCCAAAAAGCCAAATGCCCAGGAGACGTGGTTCTTACGCTAAAATTATATTATTAATTATATTCCATGAAAATTTACACACGAATATATTGTGTGTAAACTAGTTATGTGTGTCAAAGTTAGGGTAAGAAAACAACCCCTCGATTAACCCTGTTAATATGCCAAATACTAAAGTTTATAAAAAACTGAGTTTCCAAATTAAAGTTAATATAATTATGTACAGCTTGCTAAAAAATCATAAAACAGGGCTAAAAATAAGAAAAATATAACAGTTTAAATTTGACCAAAATTTTCTCCGTTGCGTTTTTTTGCATCTGAGTGTATTTTTCTTTATTTCTTTTATTAAATAATTAATATTATGTAGATTTACTTTTATGAAAATTTATTTAATTACTAATTATGTTATAAATCAAAAATTAGAATATTTATTTCTGAATTATAAGAAATTATAAATTAAGCGAAAAAATATTTTATTATAAAAAATCGTAGCAGAGAAAAGGACTAATTTATAATGATTATTGAAAAATAAATGAATGGTTTGAATAAAACAGTAACAATTACATATTATTTTTAGATTTTGGTATAAAAAGTGGAACACAATTACTTGACTACCCATGTGCCTTTGTATTAAATAGTAACGAGTCCAAAACTGGATACTTTCATAGTCCGAATTATCCAGGATTTTACCCCAGAGATACCGAGTGTCATTACTTCTTTCATGGAAATGCAAATGAAAAGGTCCATTTGCACTTTGCCTACTTTGATGTAGAAGGGGTTTTACCGTAAGTAAATTTTGTTTTAGTTACGTATGATGGATTTCTCATTGATGCATTAAAATGGAGCGAACAAAATTATAGTTTTAATAAAACACTATATCAAACAAATGTGAGTGATTATTTTTAATATTAATCTATTAACTGCATTCTAATTTTATGGGACCAAAAATTATGAACAAAGGGAGGAACAAAAAAACAAGGAGCAAACATTTTATTATTTCACTAATGCTTAAATCTATGCATCGTAATCTTTTAACGCAAATATCTTGAAAACCGCCTTTTCGAACAGCCTTTATACACATTGCACACACACTAAAAAATGGGAGTGTTAAGTTCCAAATAAAGGAGAAAACCGGTTTCACCGCTCTTTATTGACTCTATCGTACAATTTAAACTTTAAGATACTAATAACAATAATAATAATACCTGATACAATGACACTAGTGGGCACTAGATAAGTCTATTTCATCTTGTCTTCTTGGCGCTCTTGACCTTTCTTGTTTGCGTTGTCGCCAATATACAACATAAATATTTTTTTTCTTAATTTTAAACTAATGAAATGGATTTAACAATATTGTTGTCACAAAGTTTGAAAAATTTTCAGAGATAATGTAAAATTTTAATATATTTTAAGGCAGCTCACTTTTCTTTCGATCCCTTAAAGTTATATTATAGGCTGATTTCGGATAAGGCCAATATTGACTCAGCACAGGATTAGCAGCGCCTCAAGAGCATTCTGGAAATTAAAAGATAGGGTTTTCTACAATCATGACTTGTATACAAAAACGAAACTTGCAGTGTACTGAGCAATTATAATCCCCACCATGTTATATGGGAGTGAAATCTGGGTGCCGTACCGCCGACACATGAACGCATTAAACAAGTTGCAACAGAGACACCTTAGACAATTCTTAAAAATCCGATGGTTCCATCATGTCTCAAACGTATCGGTCCTTGAAAAAGCTAACTGCGAGTATTGAAGTCATGGTTACAAAATCCCGCTTAAGATGGGCTGGACATGCAGAATGAGTGGGAAGAAGCAGCTCACAATAGAACTCAATGGAGAAGAATTGTAAACTCAGTTAACAGCGATAACTAAAAAGTAAAGAGGCAACAATGATGAGATTTTTGAATGTCCGGAGTGCGGTAGGCAGATAACATCACGTATCGGGCTTTTTAGTCACAGAAAGACTCATGAAAGACAGCGCCTTGCGTGACCATCTTCTGATGCGTGTCGAATACTCGTCAGCGAGTAATGGCAGTATGTATTATTATGGGCTAATTAGTAATAAGCTGTTTGGATTTAGAGTATACACTAAAATTCGAAATAATGTTTAAATAAATAATGTTTAAAAACTGTAATCTGAACTAATAAAAACCGTAACGACTTTAAAAAATTTGGACTATATCGAAAGTGGATCAGACAAATTTATAAAATTCATGTATATTATACGATATATTTAATAATATAAACGCTGAATATTTATTGAAATATTACCCAAAAAAATAAATAAAAGTTGTTACAATGGAAATAGGAAATATGGTTTGCCATATTATTCATTCTACCCCTAAACAAATTAAAACCGCTATACCCCCTAAACTACAAACAACACGATTGGATGGAGGGATGTAAACGCATGAAATATGACCACTCATTTTCAGTTGTACTTGCGGGCTGCATATACTTAACATTCAAGTGGCAATAAAGAAAGATTTTAGTGCATATATTTGTATTTTTGATTCTATATTTAAACACAATTTTTAGAAACCCACCCTATTGGGGTAAAATTGGGGGTGATAATTTGTATAAAAAATTGAAAAGCTCTATTCTATAAGTATGCAATTTTATGCAAATGTTTCTGAAATGAAGCAACTGATCATTATGTAGTAATTTTTGAAAATTCATCCACAAAGCGGCAGAAATTAAAAGTGAAAGTTTTTAGAAAAAGAAAGTTAAAATTGGTTCTAGGTGTATGAAATTTGGAAAAGATTTCTTACATGATGTAAGGAAGTAAAGTAGTAAAGAAATAAGTACAAAGTACATAGTAAGAAGCGATTTTTGAAATTCAGCCACTCTGGTGGTGATATTAGAAGTGCTTCCATAAGAAATTCTTACTATCTGGTTTAGAAGTCTAAAGTTTATACAGGGTCCGGCAATAGTGCGTCGGGCATCTGTAGCTCCTAGAATCAAAAACTTGAGAATTTTGTTTCAGTGGAAACCTAAAGTATGTACCAGGATGTATTTCAGGAAAATATGTTAACTTCTATAGGGTGGCACAAAAAAGTGTGAGTGGACCTGGATATTTTTTTTTAAATGGAACACCCTGTATATTATTGCATTTTTGGCTTCCATTCAGATCACTTTACATAACCCTAAGATATGAATGAATATATTTCGATAGTTTCAGAGATATTAAATAATAAATCAAAAATATATATTTTTCAGCCCTTCTTAAAAAAATTATTAAAAATACAGAAACTGTTCCGAAATCAAAAGTATATTAGGTATTTACTTTAGCTGGTCTGTTCTTACTTTGCTATAAATATGGTAATCGTAAATCATACAGAATGTTCAATATTCTACGCCAAACTTTCTAAAATATAAAATATTTTTTCTTTGTTTTTTTTTTTAATGAAACACCTTGTATATTATTTTTTTATTGGATCGAGAGTTAAAAAATGAACATTTTTTGTATTTAGAGTATTTCAAAATTTTTAACGGTTTCGCAGATACACGCAGTATTATTTCATATGGCGCTTTCAATGGTAAAATACGAGAGAAAAATAATTGGGTGGCTTTGATAAAAATTTACTGTGCAAAATGCCATATGAAATATAAAACCGCAAATATCTGCGAAACCGTTACAAATTTTGAAATACTCTAAATACAAAAAATGTTCATTTTTTAATTCTCCGCCTATTCAAAAAATAATATACAGGGTGTTCCATTTAAAAAAACGAAGAAAAATTATTTTATATTTTAGAAAGTTTGGCGTAGAATTTTGAACATCCTGTATGATTTACGATTTTCATATTTATAGCAAAGTAAGTACAGACCATCTAAAGTAAATACCTAAAATAGTTTTGATTTCAGAACAGTTCTTGTATTTTTAATAATTTTTTTAAGAAGGGTTGAAAAATATATATTTTTTATTTATTTTTTAATATCTCTGAAACTATCGAAATTTATTTATTCATATCTTAGGGTTATGTAAAGTGATCTGAAAGAAAGCCAAAAGTGCAATAATATACAGGGTGTTCTATTTAAAAAAAATCATCCATGTCCACTCACACTTTTTTGAGCCACCCTATAGAAGTTAAAATATTTTCCTGAAATACATCATGGTACATACTTTAAGTTTGCACTTAAACAAAATTCTCAAGTTTTTTATTCTAGGAGCTACAGATGCCCGACGCACTATTGCCGGACCCTGTATACAATTTAATACATTATAAATAATAATTTTACGGGGTAAAATGGAAAAAAAAATAAAAAAATATATAAAAATGCATTACATCTGAGGCTGAAAATTTCGACCTGAATAAAAAAATGGCATGAAATAAAAACCAATATAATGAAACACATCAAATGAATTGATTTAACTGAATTAACTATAAATATCTTAAAATCTACCAAAGCACCGCTACAGATTGCAAGACATTTTAGTGGGAACAAAAAATGGTAGGAGTGGTGCAAGTGCTATAGTCAAAAATTGAGAAAAGGAACATGCTTGAATGAACTGCTCAAACAGCAAAGACACTTGGCTAGGTTATGATTTTCTAGATAATAAATTCTTTATACAGGGTGCTACAAATTCGAGGTACGAGCATTGGTATCTCGGTAACCGTAATAGATACGAATGGTTAAATTGGGGCAAAGTTGCCCCCGTATTGGGATGTTCACCAAGATGCAACCAAAAAAGTTTTAAAAATTTCAAGGATTGCTGAGTTTTTTGGAAAAAACTGATTTTCTTGAAAATCAATTTTATATTTTCCTGTCGTTACTTTTTCAAAAATCAAAAAACTAATTGCACATTCTCATAGCCACTTTATTAGGGCTATCTGTTAGTATTTTTGTATTTTTAGATTTTCAAATTAGCTGATAATTTGTGACATAGAGAGGCCAACTTTAATTTTTTAAATACGGACCTGCATTTTTTATTTCAGGTTTTGAAAGAACTCGGTCTCCTGAATACAATGATATGCCATACTTTATACTTTTTTTTTGTTTTCGATACTTTAACAGCAACAAAACTATTTAATTATTATTTAAAATAATTTCCGATAAGTCCGATTCTGCTTTCTTAAATTATTTAATCTGATTATATTCATGGCAACAATATTGATCAGCGCTAATTAACATTGAATAAGGAAAATCGAGCCAGTTGGAAGATTCCAATAAATAATATCCAGGTCAGAAATTTAAAGATATTATTTTTAACTTTTTTTATTATGAATTTGAAGTCTCAGTGTGCGATCTAATAATATGCATAATATTAATCGTAGTTATTAAAAATAAATCAATTTCTACAAATTAGTTTCTAATGTTCTACATGTTCGAAAGGGTTACCACCCTCCTTATTGCACAAATTTATTTTTCGCTCAATTTTATTTATAGCTCTTTGAACTTTCTTCTTATAATTCCGAATGCATTGTGTACTCGGAAGTACACTCAGTTGAAGTACACTTTATTGTAAATATTGAGATGAATCGATTTCACTTTTACAAATGACGTCAAATAATGTGGTCAAATAATCGGTCCAGGAACCTCACTGGACATTATACTGCTCTACCATTTCCAATCCATTTTCCGGGAAAATGATTTGATTGTATATATTATATCGTTGATTGAAAGAATTGGTTTGCTTATTTCTTCAATCAACGATTATATTAATTATTTTATTGCATTTGATTTTCCGTATTCAATGTTTTATCCCACGTCATTGTTAAGTTTGAAAGCTTATCAATAATGTAACAATGAATAGATTAAATATTAAAAAAAAAACAGAGCCGGACTTGAAATTAATTTAAATAAATTGTGTTCAAATGTCAGAACAAAAAAAATATTAAGTGTGGCATATCATTGTACTCAGGAGACCGAGTTCTTTCAAAATCTGAAATAAAAAATGTAGGTCCGTATTTTAAAAATTAAGTTGGCCTCTGTATCTCAAAAATTATCAACTAATTTGAAAATCTAAAAATATTTTCAGATAGCCCTAAGAAAGTGCTGTGAGAATGTGCAATTGTTGTTTTGATTTTCTAAGAATTAACGACAGGAAAAAATAAAACTGATTTTCAAAAAAATCAGTTTTTTTCAAAAAACTCAGCAATCCTTGAAATTTTTAAAACTTTTTTGATAGCATTTTGGTGAACATCCTAAAGCGCAACTTTGTCCCAATTTAACTATGTTCGTATCTATTACGGTTACCGAGATACCAATTCTCGTTTTCTAAAACGAAAGGTGCATCACAGAAATTTTTTTCACTGTCTAACGGCAACTCGTCACGTTAAAAAATACATGTTAAATGCTATTAAATTTGAATATTAATTTGAATACCATTTACTATTTTTTTTAGATGTGAAGCTATTTCTGCAAGTGACTACGTGGAGTTTTCAAATTACATGGCGCGAGACAGAAAATATTCTCGCCATTGTGGTCAACTTAAGGAGTTTGATATCGAATCCGACAGAAAATTCTTTAGAGTTACCTTTAGATCTAACGATAGATTGGATGGCACAGGATTCAATGCTTCGTACAGTTTTTTAAATGAGGTTGAAGTTTACACTCCAAAACCTACAACTGGTTCTGGAACAAATTTATTAGGTAAAGTAGTATTAATTGGCGTGTGATCGATCTCTTCCCTGATATTTGCGCAAATACTGTTACAATTTTATAATAAGAAAAATAAACTGAAATACTATTATATGTTAACTATTTTAATACTTCAATTATGTAAATAAAAAAATGTGTGTGCACTATGTCAACATATTTGAAGTGAAACTTCTTCTAGCTTCCGTCTGGCTGTCCGTCTGCCCGTCTGTCCATCTGAGGACTCCATTCGGGTGCCTCTATAATTACTGATGATTTCGTCCATTTAGAAGCATCGAGGGTGTCATTTTACAAGAAGACGCCCTCGACTTAAACGGGCTACAGCCCGTCCCCAATTATGCTGAAATCGACCCACATTTTTCTTCATTATGAAATCGTTAGTCCCACCCTGATGAAGATGTCAACGAAATGTCGTATCCTACACGGTCAAGTTGGCCTTGATCCAATCTCACGACATACAAAAATTCCATTTAAATCGGACGATTTTTTGACTTGATTCAAAATATTATTGGTCAATATACCATGAAAAGATGTGGCTCTTCGAGCTCCATCTTTTCATCCGTTCCCATAGGGACCGAGTTACGACGCTCCGTCTAAACCTCCGATCGTTACCACTTTTTCTGACGCTTCTCGTGTGTCACGGCCTTCCATTTTTACTCCCATCGCGCGTAAAGAAAGTTCACTTCAAAAAATATTGTGGCCGGCCGTGGCTCCAACAGTAGTGTGTCGGTTTGCTGTGAGAGAGGAACTGGGTTCGATCCATAGCCAATGCGGTCGCTTTATTTAGTCAACGAGAAATATTTAGTTAAATAGATTAATTAATCAAATAGAGCTAATTAATTAAATAGCGCGGTCAGCGAACCGCCATGCCACCTCAAGAAATGCAATGGCAAACCGCGTTGAGTATAATATTTACCTAGTATACCGGGTGCGTCTCAAAAGTGGCTCACCCCTATAACTTTCTTATTTTTTCAGATAAAAAACGAGATTTGGTATGTTAGTATATATATATATATATATATATAGATTTATTAAACCGCTTATACGAGCCCAAAAACTACGTTGCTTCATTGGCCTCAGACCCGATTTCGACATTTCAGGCCCGGGGTATATATATATATATATATATATATAACATAAATTAGGACTAATTGCCGTATCCAATTGTTTGTGGTCACTTCTTTTTCACCGGAAATGGCTACAACGTTTGATTTTTAAATGGCACCCAGTATTTTTTGACATTATTCGATAGAAAATGACATTCTGAATAGAATGACATATTATATGTCAACTTTTGACATTCTCGCTTAATAAAAAATAGTATTTTAAAATTCAATCTAGAGTGCCATGGCTATGTTAAAAACGCTAATTCTTAATCAAGGAGCCTTGGAAAAATAGATTTGATCGTCTAATGTTTTCAGTGTCTCGTCCTGGCCAGTTAGAAAATGTTTAAATCGTATTTTTAATCATGTCTCAATTTGTTCAAATGGAACGAGAGGTGGTTCATTAGCATATTTGGAAAAAGCATTTTTTTACGAATAATATGGTATCACACACTTGGTATTTCGAGTCAAATTTTCGTTACGAACCGCAAGTTGTAATTCCAAATAAACATATGTTAAAATCTCCAAAGTTGACATATGATATGTCATTCTATTCAGAGTGTTATTTTCTATCGAATAGAGTAAAAATAACACCGAGGGTGCCATTTAAAAATCAAATGTTGTAGTCATTTTCGGTGAAACAGGAAGTGACAGGAAACAATTGAATACGTCAATTAATCCTAATTTATGTGATATAACTATATGATATAAATAACTAGCATATATAACTAACATACCAAATCTCGTTTTTTTAACTGAAAAAATAAAAAAGTTATAGGGGTGAGCCACTTTTGAGACACACCCGGTATACAGCGCAGCGTCTCAAATACTGTCGTTCGGATTCTGCTATAAACTATATGTCCCGTGTATTTCATAAACACTCATGACACACATCACAAGTACATGTAAAAGGTAGCTTACGCTTTGTATAGAATATGGCACTGTATGAAAAAGGAGATTCAAAAATACAGAAATTCCAATTGGAGAGCACACGAGCACAAAATCGATGAGAGTCCAAAACCGATAAATGTTCAGGAGAGAGTTTTTTAATTCAAATTACGCATGGACTTTTATCTTTTTCAAATTTTTAAATGCCTGTTTCTACGTGACCGCTATTGATATTTCCGTTTATTTAGGTACCAAAAGGTGCAGCTTTTTAAGGCGGAAAATACGTATTAAAACCTAATTAGCAAAAAATGGACTTTCATCGTTTTTCCCGTGTGCGCTTCAATTGAATTTTGAAGCCGGATACATCTGGCAGCTCTGGCTTTAAATCCAAACTACTACTAAACGAATTTTGAATCTTTTTAGTTCAGACATTATATCATTTTTCATAATAGATTTTAGGGAATTGATTTTGGAGCTTTGATTATTTTGAATGTTTTATCAATTTCTTATTATAAGATTGTGAATTATTTCGACATAATTTATTTCTTATATATCGTGTATAAATATTTTCTCCTTTAAATATATTTTTTTTGTTGCAGAAAATCTACTATTATACTTTTCTGTGATCTTATTGAGGACAGCTGTGTAAATACTTAAAGAAGAGATTTGTTATCAGTTCAAACACTAAATTATACGTGATATTAATAAAATATGTGTTAATTTATTTTCATCTTAATTCAAACGACTTGTTTTTATCTTAATTCTCCAAGACTGCTTAGTGAAAAAATAAGATAGATGTAGGAAACATTATAAACCTAACCAATTGTTCATAAAACTTTTTAAATCTAGTTCAATAGTCGTCGTGGGGTACGTATACTTGTCAACACGTACGGTCAGCCAAGTGGTGTAAAAATGAGATACGCCATATTTAGATAAAAAATGAAACATTGAAATGAAACTACTAAAAACTTATGAATATAAGTTTTTAGTAGCCTTGTTGTTTTCTGTTGTAGCCCTGTTTAGCAGCCCTGATGTTCCTAACAATAATTGTTAACAGATCATATACCTGTAATACCCTATAACCAGATAATATCATATACCAGACCCTATAATTTGTTTAATATTTTTGTGATGAACCATGGAAAAACTGAAATTATAAATTTATTGTTTCGTTTTGAGGTTTAATACTTTTGAAACTGACTACCAAACTTTTGTTGGTGACATCAGTATGAAGTGGTAAGCGTTCAACTCCTATCGTCGCGTGCATATTTTTGATTGGTTACGGTATATGGTCTAGAAAGGCATGTTCTTTAAATTAAGAGAGTCTTTCTGCATACTGACTTTTTTAGGAGTACTTTGAGTATATTTTTAGCTTTGCTATACTTTCGTTACCACCAAATGTGTTTTATAGAAGAAATACTAAGAAAAAAAATAAAAGTTATGAAAAATGTCCCATTTATACACCATAAATACAATTAATTTCTATAAATTTAAAATTGTTTTATTAAGAGAAATACAATTTTGGTAATTACTCTTCTGGTAAGACAGATCTAGTTTTACAATATTTTGTAAACATTCTCAGCTACAGATTATTTATTGAGAAAGTACTTTTACTTTTAATATGAGCTTTCGCAATATTATATGTTCTGTCAAAATATTTCGAATACTGTATATTTTCTCAGTAAATGTAAATAAGGAAAGTACCACGATACCAGTAAACAAATATTTATTTTTTTAAGTGCGATTTCTGCTTTGCGTTTTGTCAGGGGGAAGGATCCAGCAAAGTCGACCTGATGATGGGGATAAATTTCCGAAACCGGTTTTTGGATGGATGATTGTTTCCTTCGGTTTGATGAACTTAATGCAGAAATCGGCACACTTGTAGGGGTTAAGGCCTTTTTACCTATTCTTTGTACTATTCTGTATATCATTTTTATTTTTTATATCATTTAAACTATTTTTAGATTAAGTATCATAAGTAGCAAGCGTTTTAACAATGTACTCAATTCATAATACATGTTTTTTTATATTATCGTCGCCTCAAAATATATTACATTTTATTTTACAAAATTTCACCTTTCAGAAGCAGAAGCCCTGTAAAACATAATTTTATGATACTCTCTTGTGTATAACTATCAATAAGCCCTGAACTGCGCAATGCAAATTAATTATTGTTTTTTTTGTACGTACTAGAAATTCACAGTAACTATGGTCGTGTACCTTGTTCTTCTACAGTAATATAATACCGCATGATTGAAAAAACGGCGTCAAAGACGACTGGGAAATCAAAATCGATTGTAATCCTGGCGAGGTCAATTTCTAGACACAATTTTTTAGAAATCTAAAGGATAGAACATTTTCAGACACACAAATATATTTCTGTGCCCTAGAAGCAAACTATGTTGAGTCCAAAATTAGCGTATTTGATATATGTATATACGCCAAGTTACTTAGCTTTTTATTTATGTTTTACACTTTGCTCTTTCTCGTTTTACGCTATTCTGTCCCAATAAATAAAACAATCGGTTTAAAATCAAATTAAGTCCGATGTCAGCCCTGGGCTAAATGGGGTTAAGTCACTTAATAGCAGTTTGGCTCAAACATCTTTGATTAGTTTAGTATGTTTTTTTTTCCACGTGTCCACAGTGACGAAAATGGATTTTTACCGTTTTGTTATTATAGGGTAGGTAGTCAATTAAAACGTATTAAAGATTTTATAAAGATAGTAAATTGGTTGTAAATTTGAACATACATAATAGGGTGCACCAAAAAAATTTTCTTTCTTTCTATTTACCATGAAAATATCGTTCAGGATGATGAAAAAAATTCTGGTAAAGTTTGAGCTCCTATAAGAGGTGTCTGAATGTGATTTTCAATTTTCCAGTTAAATAACACCGGGAAAGATTTTTTTTAATTTCATTGCGTTCTAACAAATCAGCGTTTTGTAAAAATCAATATATACTCTGTAGAAAATTGAACGGTCTTTGAATAATTTGTTATTTAAGGATATTTTATTGTAATATTTCCAAAAAGTCAACTGTAAATTTTATCATGAAAGTTATACATATAATTGTTTAAACAATTTAGATATACTGCCAATGTAAAATATGTGTATAGCCTAAACGTCAAATTTAGTGATTATTACAGCCACTGTGCCATAAAGAGAAGACGTGGCTATCTATTTCAAAAATTATTTTGTTCGAATGTCATATAATAATGGCCGCAGCTGTCATGGAATTGAGCGATTAAAAATTATTTCAAACGGAAACCCACTTTAGTGAAATACACTAGTGAAAAGGCTTTACAATTCCTTACTTTTTGACTATATGTTCCATTACCTAAAATAAATCTTTTTAAGTTATTCAAGATTTAGTTTTAAAATGTATATTTTCCTTGATTTTATCTAGCTTCCTTTGACATTAATTGTCAAACAGTGAGACAATTTATGTCCATCTGTCGGAAAATGAATTATTTGAAATGTCTATATTATAAATACTGCCTGCCCTTAAGAGTTTAAAAAGTGTATTTATAAAAATATATCTCGTATTTTCGCTTTTTAGTGATATCTAATAGTGGATATTAATAATATACCGTATGATCGAAAAAAAAACAGCGCAAAATTGGCCTGGAAATGATCGATAACATACAGATTTTTGAACAAAGTGTCACAATATGACATGGCGTTTGGTTAAAATCCAGAAAAATATACTCTTTAAAACTAAATCTTGAATAACTTAAGAACGATTTATTTTAGGTAAAGTAACATAGTCAAAAAATAACTAATTGAAAATACTTTTCACTAGTAAAATAAGAATGTGGGTTTCCGTTTGAAAAAAAAATATTTATGATAATTTTTTAATCGCCCAATTCTATGACAGCTGCAGCCATTATTATATGACATTCGAATTTTGAAATAGATAGCCACATGTCTTCTCTTTATGGCACAGTGGCTGTGATAATCACTAAATTTGACGTTTAGGCTATACACATTTTTCCGACAGGCAGTCTTTTTCGCCTAAAAATTTTAAATATTTTTTTTCTTGTCAAAAACGGTTAATGCTAGGTATAAAGAGGTTAATATCAAAATTAATTAAATTTTACAGGGAATTTAAGTATGTAATAAAAAATGGGGGCGCCCATTTATAAATCAGAAAGTTGCTGTCAACTGCCAGTATTTCCGGAAATGCCGCCATTTTGAAAATATTTTTAATCTATAGATCTCGTTGTGGAACAATGATATGCAAAAAATCTCCGATCTAGATACTGTACTTCTCTAGAAACTTCTAAGGCATGTTCAGCCTGGAACCCTGTATATTTTATAAATTTATAAGTTTCAAATGATAGTGTATAAGTCCAGCTCCTTTTAATCTTATAAATATATATGGACATAAAAGTTCTATGAACAACATGGTTATATTAAAGACATATCTATACTTTCCAACTAAAATCTTACAATTTTTAGTTCAGATTTTGGCAAAGGAAAAAACTGTTTTAATTGTACATTTTTCTAATAAACGATAAACATCTAAAATATGATTCTAAGATGCACTAAACACAATGATTCATATTTATAACGGCAAAATAACTATATAAATATAAGATACAAGTTTTCTATTTTTGTGCTTCCTTATTTAGTAGTTTAGGAAAAAAATATAAGTACCAATTGTATAGTAGTATAAAATAAATAGTTTTTGTCTATAGTTGTTTTATTCCTTTTACAGTGGGTTTTGTTACTGTATATTTACATTAAATTGGTATTTTCACCCAGCGGCGTAACTTGACAACTGCCGGCCTCAGTGCAAGATATTTTTGGGGGCCCCTGAGTAAAGAACAAAACCAAAATAATGTATATTTTTTATTAAATATTTTTTTGAAGGGCTATGCGGGGCTCCAAGTTCCTGTGGGGCCCCGGTGCTTTGCACCGAACTGCTCTGTGATAGCTACGCCACTGTTTTCACCACATTCTCTCAAAACCGCTGTCTTTCCAAACGACAGACAGAAAGACGTGTCAAAACTACGCCCCTCATAGTTTCGACATAATAATCTTTTGATACTCTACAATTTTTTTAACCATACTGCAATAATATTAAAAGTTTCGTTAAAAAAACCGTGTGGCACTTAAGAATAGCAAACGTATATTGAGCCATTGGTTAGTTATACTAGCGTCTATGTCCCACTAGTCTACTCTGGCATCCGTTTGTTGTCCCTTAATTTCATGATTTTTAATTGCCAGCTAAACTAAAGATGTTTATTTGTACGGTTTATTTCAAAGTTTGATTGCTATTTGGTGTATTTTGTTAGAATGTTATAATATGCCCTCCAAATTGGTTTTTAATTTAACCAAATGATCAAAGAAGTAAGGCATGGTCAAGTGTAAAAGGTCGGTGTATATTATCATATACGTAGTGTTTCCGATCCGTAGGGTTTCCGTTTCAGCAACCGGACAGCGTATTTACATATTCATACACTAAGCGTTGCAGTTTGCTTCAGTAAAGTAAGGGTTTTCAATTTTTCTCATAAATAACATGTGCAATAATTGCCCTTCTACTTGCAATAGGTGTTAGAAAAATTAATACAATTTTTGACAAGATCCGCACCTACCGGTGTCCGACAAAATATTGTTTAAGAGTATACTGGACGGATACGTTACGTGTATGAGACGTATCTGACAGTATGCATTAATTATTATCTGATGGTTACTATTAAAACCACTATTCTTTGGAATAAAAAAAACCACTAGTGAAAAATATTATCTCGAGAAATATTCAGCAGAGGAAACATGAACCAGTTTAAAGCAATTGCTGCTTCTATTGGACCAATATTAACAGTTCTCTAGTGTATAGATAGAGATATATCACCTTTGATTGTAATTTTCGTAAAAAAAACATTTGAATTTAATTTTTAATCAAATTTTAGATAAGCATCTGGTAAAAATTAGATTATAACAAAATAAACAACCTGCTACAACTTGGCAGCATTGTTGGGTGCCAGAATAGACAAGTAGAACGTAGAATCTAGGGCTAGTTATTGGTTCATAGTAAATTCAAAAATTCCAGAGTACCACAATGTGGGAACATTATGTACACTGTAATGGCTCAATCTGTTCTTTTATAAATGCTTCTCTTATAGCTTGTTATTTTTTCCCAACCCAACCGCGATTAATCAATTAATATATAGTGTGTTCGACTACAAAAAAAAGCATAACTTTGATGCATACATTTTTTTGGACAATGACACTCATCACAAAATGACACACAACTTTTGGACAAATATGGCCCTATATAACTTTTTTATTTTTTTTTTCAGATAAGAAACAGAGATTTGATATGTTAGTATATGACATAACTTAGGATTGATTGACGTATTCAATTGTTTTTCGTCACTTCCTGTTTCACCGGAAATGACTACAACTTTTGATTTTTAAATGGCACCCTTGGTATTTTTTTTTACTTTACTCTATAGAAAATGACACTGTGAATATGATGACATATCATATGTCAACTTTTGAATTATTCTTTTTTGACATTTTAATCAAGGAGCCTTGGAAAATAGATTTACTCGTCTTTTCGTGTATTTTCCTGACCGGTTAAAAGATGACCTAATCGTATTTTTAATTATATCACATTTTTTTCAAAAGGAACGAGGGTGGCTCATTAGCATATTTGGAAAAAGCATTTTTTTAAGAATAATTTGGTACCACATACTTGGTATTTCCAGTAAAAATTGTTGTTATGAACCGCATGTTACAATTTCAAGTAAACCATATTAGAAAATGTCAAATATTGACATATGATATGTCATGCTATTCAGAGTGTCATTTTATATCGGATAAAGTCAAAGAATCCATTTAAAAATTAAAAGTTGTATTCATTTCCGGTGAAACAGGAAATATCCAATAACAATTAAATAAGCCAATCAATACTAATTTATGTATAAAACATACCAAATCTCGTTTTTTTATATGAAAAAATAAAAAAGTTATAGAGGTTATACGCACCCCGTATATACATATATATATATATATATATATATATATATATATATATATATATATATATATATATATATATATATATATATATATATATATATATATATATATATATATATATATTTAAAAAATTCTCTAAATTAACCTATATACATATGTGCTCCCAAATATCTATTTAGATTCAAACTAATATTTTCCTTAGACGCCGCGCCGTACGATACACGCGCCTCTCTGTATATGTATATATAAGTATTATAATTAGTCCAACTATTTTGCAACCATTACTTTACCAAAATAATATAGAATGTAGAATGTTAAATCGGGTTAATCACTGCGACCTTAAAGATCTATTGTGCCCCCTTCCTTGAGTCATCACAAACTCTCTAACCTATCATACCCTGTTGTAGAGGGAACAGGGTATTTCCCATCCTTCTCTGACAACAGTTCTTCCTCCGAGGGTACACACCCTTCCACTGTTGGAGTTTGGCCTTCCGTGCCATTCACAGTCGCGAAGCTTGCCTCCGGCTGAGGTACCCGTGAAGTGGAGGCTGGAGGATCTGTCTCCATTTTCTCCACCTCTTAAACTTAGTCTCTCCTTAGACCTGATACCGGTGTTGTCCCGTATCTATAATAGAGGATATGTCCCTCTTTCTCTATTGCCTCCTTCGATTTGAGGTCAATGCCTATTGTGAGTACCTGAGAGTAGTATAATAAGCCTGATAGTATACGTCGATAATGTATTATTGTGTTAGCATGTCTTAGTATTGCTCTTGTATAATTACAGTTTTCTGTATCTCACCATTTTGGCCTATATAGCAAGTGCATCGAAAAACTGTCAATGCAAGGACTAGATAAAACACGATTAAATGTTTTAATTTTACTCCAACAATTGGTGTGTTTGTGTATTATAGAATTATATATAATTCTATAAAACACACCACTTATTACAGGTTAATTCTAAAACAAATTTATTAACTATTAAAAAATTCACCGTCAACATTTATTGGAATACGCAATTAAAAATCAAAAAGATTTATGATTCTAATGTTTTTTTATGTGAACAGATACCGTATCATCGAAAAAAATTGCGCCCAGTTGGCTTTAAAATGTACATCCTAATATTCCCCATATCATTTTACATTTAAAATGACAACAATGTTCATTCCATCGCTATCGCTGGCGCCGTTTTTTTCGATCATGCGGTATTACATTTTTATATTAAACTATATACTATTTTTTAAAAACATATTTGATTCATTATTTTTAACTATAAAAACATGCGTTACTTTTGTTTGTAACATTTATTAAAAATTGTACCGTAAATTTCAAATTTAAAAGTTTATATGCTTTCTTAAATAGTTCGTCAACCTGTAGAGGCGTATTAGGATTCAGTGTCATAATTTGAAGTTGCTGCTCCATGACTATGAAATCAGGGATTTAATACCCATCCTTGTTTTAAATAAACTAAATATTTTAATGCGTGGCTTCTAATGGATAGAAATTATTTTATTTGACATTAAATTAAAGTTTAGGGAACTATAAAACACGCTTCTTTAAAGGATCGAACTAAATTGTAAAAACATAATTAAGATGTTATCAAACAACGCTATAAAATTTCATTAGATACCTACTTATACAAGCCAACAAAAATGTGTAAATAAAAGACTAACTACAATATTTCCAGAGATCTCTGACGGGAACGGCCCTGCTCACAATAGGTTTGTTGCGCAAACGCAAAGTGTCATGCCGCTCCAGAGCCCCACGGTTAAACAAGCCCAGTTTCGAGTCCGGGTCGGCTCCGGATCAGGCAGCTTTGTAGGATTGATTTATACGCTTTAATATTTAGAACTAAAAACCGCAGAGACTGAATAACTCTTACTGTTTACTTCCATCATTAACGCGTTAATGGGATTTTGTACTCGCTGGTGAAGAGGATATTGTTATCAGGTAAGACAACTAGGTGCAAGTGCTTTTTGTCCTGCTGCAGTAAAATCGACACGTTGGTTACGTTGTTGCGTCATTTGTCGCGAAAAATTTCCAACGGCGCCAAATCTTGCGGGTATTAGAAGAAGATTAATAGATATTTTGACATTTTATTGGCACAGTAATATTTTTTGTTATAAATATGAACTAAGTCTTAATAACGTAATAATAATGGTTAAGTAAATTAGTACGAAAAATTTTGGACTTATACCGGGTGCGTCTTAAAGTGGTTCACCCCTATAACTTTTATTTTTTCAGATAAAAAAAAATAGATTTTCTATGTTAGTATATGGACATAAATTAGGATTCATTGAGGTATTCAATTGTTTTCAGTCACTTCCTGTTTCAAGAGAAATGACTACAACTTTTGAATATTAAATGGCAATCTCGGTATTTTTTACTTTATTAAAATTAAAATGACACCCTGAATAGAATGACAAATCATATATCAACTTTTGACATTTTTGCATATGGTTTATTTGAAATTGTAACATGCGGTTCATATTGACAATTTGACTCGACATACCATGTCTGTGGTACCAAATTATTCGCAAAAAAATGCTTTTTTCAAATATGCTCGTTCCATGTGAAAAAATTGAGATATGATTAAAAATACGATTTAGGAAAAGACACTAAAAACATTAGGATCAAATCTATTTTTCCATTGCTCCATGAGTAAAAATTAGTGTTTTTAACACAGCCACTCAAGATTGACATTTAAAAACGATGATTTTAAGCGAATATGTCAAAAGTTGTCATATGATATCATTCTATTCAGAGTGTTATTTTCTATCGAATAAAGTAAAAAAATACCGAGGGTGCCATTTAAAAATCAAAAGTTGTTGTCACTTCCGGTGAAACAGAAAGTTGAGAATAATTGAATGCGTCAATCAATCCTAATTTATGTCATATATACTAACATTTATCTGAAAAAATAAAGTCTTAGGGGTGAACCACTTAACCTGAGACTGACTTGGTATACAGTACTACTGTATACCAGGTACAGTACTACTGTATACCATACTACTCCTTTATAACAATTGCGCTAATACCATTACATATTATACTAGTTGCTCAATTGTTTTAAAATTTACCGACAAATATCTACTGCGTTGTTTAAGAATTTATTTAATACACTTGTCCACTAAGATTTTAGTTCTTGATTTCATGGTATGCACTGTATATTTTTTATTTCACAATTAGTCTGGAGATCAGAAATGGAAAGTATTATAAGTAAGAAAGATAGAAAAATATTAAAAGTGAAGGGTATAGTAAGATTCAACTCTATAACCGCAGCAATTTGATAACTGACATTTGCATATCAAATTTTAGGTTATTAGTGGTCCACCACATTTGGTCCACCCTATTTAAACAAATTGAGTTACAATATAATCTAGAACGAGGGGTGTCTCACTGTTGGAATTACATGTACATTTTCTTGACAGTCGCTGGCAGTCTTTGGCAGTCTTACGGCAGTCACCTATAATTACATGGCAGTCATAGGCAGTCGCACGGCAGTCGATCGGCAGTCGCTTGGCAGTCGCTAGGCAGTCGCGGCAGTCATTGGCAGTCGCTAGGCAGTCGCGGCAGTCACTGGCAGTCTCTTGGAATTCAGAAGTCAATCGGCAAATTTCGGGATGTTTTGTATAAAAACTTGTCAATTTTGAAGCAAATATACGGGGTTGTTCACCACATACGACACGGAGTATTGTAGCTAAACGATGAGATTTTTACAAATTTTAAGTTTTGGGTTCGATGTAGGACTATTAGAGGTACAATTTAAAAATAATTTTACAAGATACAGAGTGTCCCAAATAAGTAAAAAATATCAAAGTTGTATTTTTTTTAAATGGAACACCCTGTATATTATTACATTTTTAGTTTCTACGATTAAAATAAAGGTAAATTTGATTAAGATTTATTATACTTAAACCTTACCGTTTTTGAAATACTTTCAATTTTGTGAAATTGCAGTAAAAATTTTGAGGCTTCATTTCTCCAAGGGTATCAAAGTTTTTAATACTAAATATTTACTGAAGTTTATTTACTGATCAGTTATTGTAATACCTTATACAGAGTGTCTAAAAATTTATTTTAAATAATTATTAGCTTCAAACGGCAATAACTTGTTTAATTTAAATAGAACACCCTGTATATTTTACGAGAATCAGATGCACAATTTAATTGTCTATCAAATTATATTATACCATTTTTTGCCTATCTCTTTAAGTTTCCGTAGAAAATGCATTTTCTTGTAATTTAGAACTTATTTATCAATATACCCATGGACTATTGACATTTTAGATTATTTTTAAAGATACCAAATTTTTAAAGAGTACAGATACTAATATTGTCGATATAATTCGTTTATTTCATTAAAAAATAAAAAAACTGTTTAAATATTTTTTAAAGAGGATCAATTATTATGATTCCAGTATTTAAACTACATTAACTGACTGTTTGCGTTGATTAATAATAATTGCTCCAAATACTAAAAAACTGAATTTTGTATGGGCATTAGACAGTGTGATAAAAAGTAACACCTTAAAAATGATATTTCATTTTTTAATAAATGCTTATTTATAACAACAGAGACTTTAATTTGATAACTTATTATTATATTGATTTCTGACTCAAATCCACATTTATTTATAATAATTTATTAACGAACACAATTAAGTATGTAATTAATTAGTATATGGGCGGAAATAATGGTGTTATATTTAATTAATGGTATACTCTTTTATAAAAATTTAAATAGTTTTCTTTTTGCATACAAATGGGCTAGTAATATTATCGTTTTGCTAAAAACGATAATATTACTAGTCTGTACATTTTGTACATTTGTTGCTTTAAAAACAATCTAAAATGTCAATATTCCATACATATATTGATAAATGAGGTCTAAATTATAAGAAAATGCATTTTCTACGAAAACTTGAAGGGATAGGTAAAAAATGGTATAATACTATTTGATAGACAATTTAATTCTGCATCTGATTCTCCTAAAATATAGAGGGCATTCTATTTAAATTAAAGAAGTTATTGCCGTTTGAAGCTAATAATTATGTAAAATAAATTTTTAGACACTCTGTATAAGGTAGTATTATTTTTATTATTGCAACACAATAACTGATCAATAAATAAACTTCATTAAATATTTAGTATTAAAAACACTGATACCCTTGGAGAAATGAAGCTTTAAAATTTTTACTGCAATTTCACAAAATTGAAAATATTTCAAAAACGGTAAGGTTTAAGTATAATAAACCTTAATCAAATTTACCTTTATTTTAATCGTAGAAAGTAAAAATGTAATAATATACAGGGTGTTCCATTCAAAAAAATACAACTTTGATATTTTTTATTTATTTGGGAGACTGTATCTTGTAAAAATACTTTTAAATTGTAGCTCTAATAGTCCTTCAACGAACCCCAAACTTACAATTTGTAAAAATCTCATCGTTTAGCTACAATACTCCGTGTCGTATGTGGTGAACAACCCTGTATATATATATGTTTTTCAATTTAATGTAAAAAAAAACTTGCAGCATAATTCTTGTTTAACAAAATATATATAAAACGACTCATGTGATGATCGGGTTAAAGAAAATTTTCTCGAAAATTTCAGATACATTCAGATAAATTTTTGTTTTATGGTTAATGATGTTAAATTAATTCATAATGACTGCAGTATAATAGATAATGAAAAGCTAACGACTTCAAGGTATATCAAAAATGTTTTGCTTTTGTTTTTTTAACGCTTTTTGGAACAAAATGTTAAACAGAAAAGTTATAGGGAAGGTTAAGAAGCACATTTTAAAATTACTGTAGAGTATACAGGGTACTTCAAAAAATATTTGGATTTGTGATTGTTGATTGTCGTTCGGATATAACATATATTTTTAATGAGAATACTCTATTTTTATTTTAGAATTAGATTCTACGTTCAATTCGGTAACTTTTTTGCATTTCGAAGGTCACAGTACAGTAACTCATGCTAATCATTTTTTAAACATACCCAATTTTATATTAAATTATTATACGAGATCCATGCCTTGCGACCGAGCTTGTGACCCTCGATATGATATTATATATTAAAATTAATAGATTTTGTAATAATTCAATTTGTTTAGAGAAATGTTAGATTTCGATATGGTAAAAATTATCAGTGACGCAAAATTTGTAGATTCTATCAGAAAAAATTATAATACATACTTTTTTACTGGTACGACTAAAGCTTGATTTTCATGCATCCGTTTTCCGACGATACGATGATACGATATTAATTTTATTGGTTGAATTTAAAGGCTTCGATTGGTTAACCGTTTCTAACCAATCAAAGTCTTTAAATTCAACCAATAAAATTAATATCGTATCAACGTATCGTCGGACAACGGATGCATGAAAGTCAAGCTTAATCCCGGTTACAATGCGCGTTTTTGTGGTTGCCGTAGAAACGCGCGGCACCGGCATCGGCCATAAATAAACTACACAGAGCGCCTGCGACGTGCTTTCGGTGCCACCTCGAGCCCGGTGCGTCTCGATCTAGAATCAAGACGCACCAATTAAAGAAATAGACAGTGAAATAGATTAATTATAGTTTATATGTTTTGTATAACATAGGCCTGAATAAGTATAAATAACTATTTTTCTGCAAAATAGAAACCCTGAATAATTTTTAAATTTCTCATTTTTATAAAAAAAATAATTTTTGAAATTTCAACCAAAGAAAAATTTGATAAAAAACGCGCCATAATTAAGCAGCGACTGCGATTTAACTGGTCGCTCTAGCAGTCGAGACGCAGTCGATGCGACTCGATTACAGATGAATTCAGTCCGGACGCACCAACGATTTAGTATTAGTATACAAACTACATACCTGTACCCAAATACGTTTAAAATAAAAATTTAAACGTATTTGCCTGTACCCGATCCTGTACCCTAGAAGTTCCCCATAGTTT